CCCGGCCTAGGGGCTTCGGGGGAGCCGGACCCGGCGCCCGGGGAGAGGCGCAGCCCTACTTTGCTACTCCGTGGTGGTGTGGCACCGGTTTTTTGCTTTTCCCAGGGAAGTGCAGAGCGCTTTTAGGTCTTAGGGAATGAGGGCTTGTACGGCTGGTGAGGGTATATAACTATGACCTTACTGGTGAACGCAGAGAATTTAAATGGCTCTGTCATCAAGGTTATATAGGAAACCTTTGGGACAACACGACTTCTTGATCCTGCAGGCAAAGCACTCTCTTTTATCACAGGGCTTATTTTCCCAGGTGAAATACCGCATCTTCCCTTCAGAGAAGCCTTACAAGACTAAATGAACTATTTGATTATGCAGCATTACCCGTGACCATCTTGCTGTGCCTCAGGATGCAGACAGCTGCTTACACTGGACCAAAACCAGGAATTAAAGTATACAATGAAAGAAAAAAACAGAGGTTAAAACTCTGATTGTGTACAGATAACGGGTTTTCCACCAATTTTTATGAGACCAGGATTTCATGCAGAGAAAATACTGAATTCCATTCTGAACAGGAAGAATTGTCTACCCTGGCGTCAGTTTATTACTGTACCCAAGAGTATCCACGGGCACAATGGTTCTGATCCTCTTCTCAGTCACACGGGTATAATTCAGCTATAAGTCTACCTAAACTCATAAAGTTGCAACAGTTTATACAAGAGGAAAGCCAAGTGCTATGATCTGTCTTCCCTTAATCTCTTAATTAATCTTAGTTTTCATTGATAAATGTGTTAACAAGCAGTTCAAATCATTAGTAAAGCTGAACTCAAGCACACAGCACTACTGCCCAATTCAGCTATTTGTTGAAGTTAACAAAGTATGCATTGTGGTGAATACAAATAATGCCCACTCTTCACCATTTTTTTCTTGCAGTAACACTTAAGAGGTCATCTGATTTTTCTTCCCTTGCACCTCAAAACTACTTTGAACCAGCATCCTCAGTAAAGGTGAAGGAGAAAGACTGCCTTGAAATTAGATTTTTTAAAAAAACCTAAACACAAAAACCCAAACGCAGGATCACTAGTTTCAATCCTGCCAAGTGCTCAGTGCGTCTAGGGAGATATGACCACCCTTAAACCCAACTGACCCCAGCCTGAAATGCTGAGCAATGTGCTGTTGCTCAATCAGGGGAAAGCCATGAAAAAAGGGCCTGATACCACGATTTAGGTAAAGGAAACACTGGTACTGGCTTGACCAAAGATTCTGTCAGGAAACAAATGAGAAATGCAAGATATTACTGGTAAACAAGTAAAGTGCATTGATTTGTGTGCCTGGGCAGATACGGTGCTGGGGGTGGTGTTTGCCACTGACATTCCCCCAAATGAAAGTTTAATTTGTATTGCATTCATTCTTACTTTTTCCTTGGTGATAATGCAGTATACAATCCAAAATTTCTAAGAGGATGTACGTGTTTCAGGCATATGGGGAAGAACAAACAACTCAGAGCTCCTTAGTGTTATGTAACATAGGCAGATGATAATATAGATATGAATTTTGACAGGCTTGAAATTACATAAGCTACAAACATACTCTGGATTTTAATCCTCTGCCTGTGCCCTCTTCACTCACATGAGTAAATTCCACCAGAGTCAGTAAGCTTACTCTTGCAAATAAGTCACCTGCATAAGGAATAGCTTGAAGGATCATGCCCTAAATTAAACATATTAAATAAAACTGTAAAAATGCATTTATAAATAACCTTGAAGTGGGTTATATCAAGACTGGGAAAACTCATTCTTTTCCCTCTGTTAGCATCTGTCTTTCCAAGTCTAGGCAGTTCTGTGAATTAATATAGTGATTTTTGCCTGCTTGTCTTTTTCCCCCAAACCTTCTCTCAAGGTTATTAATAGAGGAAAAGGCAGAATTCATGAAGACACAGAAGTCCTATAGAGATAAATCTGTATAATTATACAACGGCAACAGACAGCCTTTACGTGCATATTTCAGCTACATGTTTTCCAAAATCTGACCATAGATATTAGTATACGAGTATGTACAAAACACCCTCATCCCTTCAAAATTTCTGCCAAACGCTTGTGGAGTATCCGTTAAATCTGTAAAGTATAAGGATATTTCAATGTTGGCTACCATTTGCGTATCAGAATCGAAACACTCCACCTTTATCCCTACGGTTGCTTTCATAGCATTATTTATTATTTGTTTTTCTGCCATAGGCCATTGTGGGTGACTTATAACCTGATTGTGTGATTTTAGACTGGCTTATGATCTGGTTTCCTTTTATATCCTGTGATATCACCTGACCAGTATCAGTGGGTCACAGCATAATTAGATTAGAATTGGATACACTTTTCTCTGAAGCAGCTGCATCATTGTTGTGTTAAGTAGGGCAAATGCATTAGTTATATTTACAATTTGATGATTAATTGCCTTCAGAGAGTTCCTCCAAAATGGAGGAACTCAGGCAGAAACATGAATGAAACCTGCTTTTATCAGTGAGTTTC